TCCGCGCCCTGAGCTCCGCGAGCCCAGCCCGGCCCTCGCACCCGGTGCGGGCCCCGCGGGCGCCGAGCGCTCCGCAGCCTCCTGCGCCCCACAGCCCGCGCCCTCTGCGACCGTCTTTACCCGTCTCGAGTGGCCGGCGAGGGCTTGCGGTGCCATATCTTGCCGCTCTCCTTGTTGCCCAGGTCCGTGCTCTGCATGGCGAAGCCGCTCACGACCGCCGCGGGCCGGCGGGTAACCGACCGACCCCTTCCCGGCAGGCCCCGCGCTTCAGGCCCGGGAAATTCGAGCGTCGGACTCAGCGGCATGCGTACCTGCGCACAGCCCCCTTTTCGCGCCACGCCCCTTTCTGTTTACAACCAATCATAAGGCAGATCCTGACCAAACTCCGCCCCGGAGCCGCCTTCCGCTCCGGCAATGGAATTGGCCAAGGAGCCTTTTCTAGACCCGCCCTTTTCTGAGGTCCGCCCCCGCCCCGCGCGAAGCCTGCTGGGGTTCGTAGTTTTGTGCAGATGGAGATGGGCAATTCTGTCCTCTAGCAGCCTCACAATACTTCAGGCACTCAACAGAGGCAGGAAAAGTCATTAAATCAAGTGGTCCCTGCAGTCCATTCTAAGTTTGGTTTAAGGACGAAGGAATTGTATAGAGACAATTAATAGAGAAGCACCGACACAAGCGCATCGAGCATGGAGTTTTTCCTTTTGTAGAACTTTAGGCTCCGGGATGAATAGTTCATTCCTATTGTGCTTTTCACGATCCTCATGATTAGATTATCAATTATGTAATCTGAGAAGAGGCTTCTGTTTTATGGTGTCCGCTACAAACCAATGAAGTCATCAACAATCAGTGCTGAATGAACACATCTGTGACCCTTGAAAGCACATTAGTTTTTCCTCTGTCTCTATAATCAGTTTCTATCCCAACCTGGCAACTGCTGTTTCCCATACCTTAGATGAGTTACTATTTTTCTAGAAATTTATATAAATGGGTTTGTAGACCTGTCTGTCTGTCTGTCTGTCTGTCTGTCTGTCTGTCTGTCTGTCTGTCTCTCTCTCTCTCTCTCTCTCTCTCCTCTCTATCTCACATCCGGTTTCTTTCATCTGTCTTGAATTTGAGATGATTGTTTTGAAGTTCCGTTGCGTTGTTGGGATACCACTAGCTCATTCTTTTTAGGGCTGAGTTGTATTTCATAGTATTGACAGACCATAATTTGTTTACTCATTCACCTATTGATAAGCATTGGTATTGTCTCCAGTTTTTGGGCTTTCCATACGAAGGTACTATGAAAGTTCTCATATGAATGAATGTATGCCATCATTTCTCTTTGCTGAAGTCTTAGAGTGGAATAGTTGGTTCATATATGGTAGGCATAGGTTTAACCTTTTAAGAAACTATGAAATGTTTGAAAGTGTCTGTGCCATTTTACAGCACCACCACTCATAGAAGTATAAAATAAGGTCACAAAAAGATTTCCTCCCTTGTTTTCTTCTTTGAGTGTATTTCAAATACATTAGGGTTAGAAAGTTCTACATAGCTAAGGGATTTTCAGGGGTTTTTTTTTTGTTTTTGTTTTTTTTTCTGGAACCGGGGATTGAACTCAGGCCCTTGTGCTTTCCAGGCAAGCACTTATTCTACTGAGTTATCTTCCCAACCCCAACATTATATTATTTTTTCAGTACCAGGGATTGAACTCAGGACACTGAGTTTGCTAGGCAGGTGCTTATTCTACTGAGCTATCTTCCCAGCCCAGTTTTCAGTTTTTGATTTGCAAAGTCCTATCTTCTTACCCTTCACCTACAACCAGAAGGATGCCTTCCTTTTGCTGTGATAATATATAATCTGGAGAGACAAGTATTTCCAATTTGTTGGCATTAAATTGACATTTGGATGGTTCAACATTTCTATTTATGAAGGTAGTTCTGTAACTCCTCCAAAACCTCAGCCAGTCAGTAGGTTAGCAAGCAAATTAAAGTAGCACGCTAACGAAAAGCAGAATTGGAAAATGCAGCATAAATATTTAGTGCAGGGGCTGGGGAGATAGCTCAGTTGAATAAGAGCTTACCTGGCAAGCCAAGGGCCTGAGTTCAATCCCCGGCTCCGAAAAAAAAAAATTAGTACAATATCTACAAAAGCATCAAAGAGGAAGCAATTAATAACTTTTCACAGGGGGCTGGTGAGATAGCTCAGCAGTCTAAAGCACCTGCTTAGGCAAACTGAGGCAGGCACAGACCGCAGTTCAATCCCCAGCACCACATTCATGCCAGCTGCGCCCTCAGGGCAGGCTGAGCTGGCCACAAATAAATAAATAATAAATTTGGGGTGTCTGTTTTAAAAAATAAAAATTAAAAAAAGGCAACTAGAAGAATTAAGATATGTTTTGTAGAGGTACCAACTCCCCAGGATGAATAATCATTGTGTACTGAAAACATCTACTAATAAAAAAAATTTTAAAAAAACTTTTCACAAATTTCTTTTTTTTTTCTTTTTTTCTTTTTTTTTTTTTTTTTTTTTTTTTTTTTTTTTTTTTTTTGCAGAACCGGGGATTGAACTCAGGTCCTTGTGCTTGCCAGGCAAGCGCTTATTCCACTGAGCCATCTCCCCGGCCCCACAAATTTCTAAAATGCCCTGCTCCATCTCATTCAGCCAAACACATAACGTTATAACTACTAACAACTGCAAAGTCTCTGTGTCTCAGAACAACTCCCTGGAGGTGGATGTTTAGCTCACTTTAGTCCTCAGGGGCCCAGCCTAGTGCAGTAACCACCGCTCTCGAGTTTCTTGTTGATGTGCTAGGGGAAAGAGAGTTCTAGAAAATTTCAACCGAGCAATCAAATGCTTGGGCCCCCAAATGGCATTTTTATTACTACTCTTTTGCTCTCAGTACCAGAACTAGGGTCCTATCCTAGAGCTGAGTGGTTCAATTCTACTAAGTTGTGTGTGCATAGCTGCAATAATACTGTGAAAGAGCCACCCCTCGGTGGCATTCAGTGGTCAGGTGGCTGGGCCCAGCCTGGTGGGCTCTGCTGTTCTCGCCTCGACACACGTTCTGAGGTCAGCTGACTATGTACTTTATAAGCTGGCCTCATCTAAGGGAACTAGGACGCTCGGCTCAGTTCCACGCTTCTCTAATCCTCCCACAGGCTAGCCAGGGAACGTTCTCGTAGCAATGCCAGCAGCGTGAACGAATAGGAGATAGTCATGCAGTCAATACCTACTGGCTTGGCGCAGGCGTGTCATCACTTTCACTGGCCCAGGCAGTTACATAGCTGAGCCCTCGGCAGATTTTTCTTTCTTTCTTTCTTTTGTTTTGTTTTGTTTTTGGATCAGTGATCGAACTCAGGACTTTGTGCTTGCCAGGCAGGCGCTTCTGCCGCTGAACTATCTCCCTGGCCCAAGGGCAGAATATTATACCCTACTCCATGCAGGAGAACATTAAAGGAGTTCCACACTGGAGCCGGCGGGATAGCTTAGCAGTCTAAAGTGCCTGTTTAGGCAAGTTTAGGCACATGCAAAGGACTGAGGTTCGATTCCTGGAACAACATGCTGCTCCAGCCTCACCCTCAGGGTGAGCTGAACTGGCCAAAAAAAAAGGAGTTCCACAGAGAGGCATGAAAAGTGAAGACCATTTATGCAATCTATAATACCTACTAGGTGTTTGGAAGGGAGAGAAAACTGAAACATACGGCGAACAGATTTAATAACTCTGACACATTGCCGCATGTAGTGGTGCACCCCTGTAATCCTGGCACTGGGAGGCTGAGGCAGGAGGATTGTTGTGAGTTGGAGACCAGCCTGGTCTACAAAGTGAGCTCAAGTCTATTCTGAACTACATAGCAAGACCCTGGCTCACAAAAAAGAAAAGAAACCCTCTGACACCATCACTTTTCTCAGTATCTAAAGCACACCTCCATCGGGCCAGTGAGATGGTTCAGCAGACTAAGTACCTGCCTTAGGCAAGCGCATGGGCCAGGGTTTGCTTCCTGGTACAGCATGCTGTGCTGACCCATCCCCAGAAGTGCTGAGCCAGCTACCAAGACTGGTCCTGGTGGCGCACACCTGCCATCCCAGCGCTAGGGAGGCTGAAAGCAGAAGGATCACTAGGAGGCTGAGCTGTGCAGTGAGAACCTGTACAAACAAACAAACAAACAAGCCTTCCATTGCCCTCTTCCTTTTCCTACTCCTTTGTGTATGTGTGTGTGTGAACCCAGGGACTTCACACTGAGCTACATCTCCTGCTTTTGCATTTTATTTTGGGCCAGGTTTCACTAGGTTGCTAAATTGCAGCCTAGTGGGGTGGGCTTGAATTTATGATTCTCCTTCCTTAGTCTCCCAGAGTGCTGGGACCACAGACAAGCACCGCCATGCCTAGCTTCCTCTTCTTTTCTAAAACCTTCCTTGAATTCTCCAAAACACCAGGATTATTAACTCTTACTTTTTTGTTACTACAACTTTGTCTTTCTGCTTATTCAAGATTTTTTTCTCCATCAACTTAAGAATTTTTTTCTCCATAATTGCACAATCAAATTGAGCCTAGAAACAAGAATCTTTACTCCTTAAAATGTTGGAAGGAAAAAAAAATGTTGGAAAGATTATAGAGTCATGGAACTTAATCTCTTTTCTGTCCCTGTAACAAACTCACTAGTCGTGTGATTCATTGACTAACATTGCATGCCCCAACAGGAGCGTTAGCTCTGTAAGGAAAGAGCTCCCCAGAACCGAACACAGAGCTGCCACATAAACCGAGGACAAAATATATTCTGTGTGGGCAGGAATTGTTTTGCACCTCCTGGCATGTAGCACAGTACCAGCTGGGCACGTGAGAAATACCATGTAGCACAGTACCAGCTGGGCACGTGAGAAATACGCCGAACACGTTTACGGAATACTTGAGCTATTATTTAAACCAAAGCTACCTCAGACCACAGTTCTAAAATTAAAAGAATACAAAGCAGTTCTGGGAAAGAAGAAAGAAACAAGGAGATTGGGGTCCTGTTCCTAGCTCAGCCACCAAATAGCTACATGATTTTTAAACAAAAACTTCCTGAGGGAGTGTGGTTTTTCTCATTTGCAAACAGTGAAATAGGGAAATACTTGCTCGAACCCCTGCCATATAAAATACAGCACGGAAATTCATCTGTTCTTCCATTTTTATTAAAGGCAATTGCAAACAAAATACCATCTCCTATCTTTAGATATGCAAATTTCCACACCGGCTTTCCTCCTGACACACATAAAAATATGGCTGCATTTTGTAGGGACTGTATCT